CAATTCCCCGCTTTGCCTATTGGCTAGTATGGGCCTCTCAGCTTTCAATCGTTGATACGCGGTATGTATTGACCAATCGGGTCATCCGACCTCGATAATGCGTGCGGTTACGGATTTGGATACAAATGTTTAATAAAATATCACTCCGAATAATGATATTGGTAAATTTATTTTATTTGGACCAATTCCTATCACCTTTACACTTGATCACAGTACAGCTGCTCTATTCAATGTAATGCCGCAATTCTAGACACGAATTTTACTATTGTTACTCTTATTTATAGTCAAACTGTTTCCAATTCGGAATTAGTACTTTGACTCGTTGAGTCAGCCCGGTATCGCGGTAGTTACGGTTGTTTCGATCTTGCTCCCTGATAGTATACTGGACTCGCTCCGTAACTGACTGACTGCCGGTGTTTTGCTAGCGCTTTTATAGTTGCTTTGCCCTTCTCATGCGTTATTTTCTGGAACTTTCTCGCATCTTCTTTCTTGACCTGTTTATTAGCCTTTTTTCGCTCTTTTCTTATGTTTATTTCTCTTTTGCCATTGATCTCGAATTTTCGCTTTTCGTGGAGAATTCTTTGTTTGGCAACAAACAATTCTACCAGACCTTTCTAGAATCGCGGTATATACAATAAGTTGTTTTGTTCCATTTGCGCTTTCATTTCTAGAAATTATCTCTTGTTCTTTTTTTAGTTCCGGTCCATTCGTTTGGGTCGTTTAGGCTTTATAGTAAGGATTATTTCTAACGGCAATAAACATGGCATATTGTAGCATATTTCGCATTTTACTACTAATTACAACACAAAAAACAATAGAAAATTATACTAACTATCCTAATTGTGTACATGTTACTTAACCTTAACCTAAAATTATTCCCGCCACCAATCTTTGCTTAATTGCATTGTTCTCAAAATAAACAATAACAAACTTATGTAACTAAACATTCAATTTCGGGAGTCTAGTTCTCCCTGTTCCCCCACTATGCGTCTTCGTGGGCGACGGTGGTACATTCGGAGCTCTCTCTCGCGTGTCGCTGGTATTGTTGCTTCCGAATATACCGCATAATCCGGTCGAGCTGCGCCTGCGCTTCGCTCGCGATTCTCTCGTCTTGGTTCGACTCTTCTGGGTCGCCACTATTGTCATTGGTTCGCATTGCACGCTCTTGCAATTCGCGCAGTTCGTGGAGCAGCTGCACCTGCACTTTATCCACTGACGGTCGCAGTTTGTGGTGAGTCACAAATGTCACACGTAACACACATACACACAAGTATGTACAAAAGGGGAGTCACTTTGAGAAAAGTTACCAGATTCTTTTCTCAAATTGAACACCTAAGAAAAAGAACGAGTCTGTCTAGTGACGTTTTTCGCGCGGTGCGGACGCAGCTTAAAGATCCTGCGCGAATACGTAAGGTAAAGACCATTCTACATAAGACGCAGGTCACAGGCCGCTGATCTTGAGGAATTAACTAATCACGTAAGTCGATTGGCTGATTTGACAAACGTGAATGGTCAATTCCGCGAGATCAGCGGCTTGCGACTTGCGTCTGCGTCTTATGTAGAATTGCCTTAAGGAAAGAAATAGAGAAGGTCGTTCGCGGGCTATCGTAGAAGACGCACGTAAGCGTAAGATTGCGATAATTAAGAAGCTACGCGCGGCCATTTTTGTTAACAACGCGATTGATAATCCGCGTACTGATATAGATATTAAGACTGGATGCGCAATGATCATTTGTAAAGTGATGTGCAAATATATATCGTAGCAACATCGAACTAAAGTGTACAAATAAATTTTAAATACTTACCTTATCTCGTATACCGTTCCTGAAATACATAAAAGGGATTCGGGAAGACGTCCGGTCGAGAGGAGATACCTTAGTACTTGGCAGTAATAATGAAGTACCTGGCGACCGTGAAATCATCAAAAGGTGAGTATTGAACAGAAAGTCTGGACTAATCCTGGTCACAACGTAACCTAATCTTTTTTTTTACATGGGGAAAATCCATTACGGATACCCTGGCTTTTGAGGGAACAAGGCCAGGGTTATGGGACTCCCTTCCTTGGCCCGCGGGACACAGAAGGTATACTCACTAAAACCTCCATGGTGTGCCTGCTCGCTCGTCGTAGGGAGGGCCCGGTACCCCTGTGCTAGGACAAAGCCTTGACTTTCCCTCGAGCACACTTCTCACAGGAGGAGGACTGTTGTCCACTTCCCTGCATTACCACTAACTTAGCGGCGCCACGGAACACACGCCGCTGCGCCGCTCCTTTTCTGGGGGCCGTGTGCAGGGACAAGTCGGGGCCCTCACTCCGACTCGTCACGGCACCCGCAGCAGGGACTTCCCTCTTTGGGTGACGAGTTCACCCGGAAAGGCTGCTGCATACGTACCCGAAAGTGCCCCGCTGGGGCGGTGGGCTAACGAGGGAGCCGGCTCTTCCAACACCCACCGCCCCAGCCTTCCCTTCACGCTATTGGTGCAAGCGGGAAGGGGTCTACTGTCATGAGGGAGCCCTTGGACCCCGAGGACGCGCGCGGGAAGCGGGGGCAATCCTGCACCCCGCTCGTATGCGGCCTCGGGGCCCCGCTGCAGGGAGAGGGGCTCTCTTTCTCTCTTTTCTGTTCTGCGGCCTCTTTCTGCTCCAAGATCTCGGAGCAGAAGGAGACCACAGCGCCCCACATACTCTCATCCCCGGAGACTAATGCTTTGAGTAGGCCCTCCAGGGAGAGGTCTGCACCTATCTTGGCGACCAGTGCTTGGACCACCGTGAACACTCCTCCATCGTGTGGTCCACCGAGTCACTGGCCGCCCCGCACGCGTGGCATTATGCCGTCGGCTCCTTGTTAATGCGACACAAGTACTCCCCGAAGCAACTGTGCCCGGTGAGCACCTGCGTCACACGATAGGTAAGGCGTCCGACCCCCTTCTTTTCCAACCACTCCCACAAGTGGGGCCGGACGATCTTCTGGGCGTTCGCTCGTGGTTTATCCAGGAGTTCCTCCCAACGTTGGAGGAGTTGTTGCCGGGCCTGGCGCTCCGAATCGGCGAGGGTCTCCCGGAGGGCATTTCTCTCCACGCCCTCCCGCAGCAGCTCGACTCGGCGATCATACCGAGCCGAATATAACTGCGCGAGGAGGGCGAGTCACAACCTTTTTTTTGCGTGGGAGAAATCTTTTATGGATACCCTGACCCCGGGGGGGAGTTAGGGTTATGTGGGATTCCCTCCTCCTTTGCCCGCAGGCAGGAGGAGGTTTACTCACTAAAACTCCCACGGTGTGTTCACTCTGCTCATGATAGGGAGGGGCCCGGGATTTCCTTTGCGAGGATTCGCGCGTACCTCTCCCTGGAGCGTGAGGATCTTGGAGGGAGAGAGTGCCACGAGTTCTCTCTTTCTCTCGCACTGAGTGTGCGATCCCACCCGTGCTTGGTGACACTGCGGGACACACACCGTAGTGTCATTCCTTCGGACCGCGTGCAAGACGAGCCGGAGCCCCCACTCCGACTCGTCACGGTCCAGCGGCGGCAACATCACCGCCCCGGAGTAAACGGTACCATTCCGGGGACTAACAGCCGCCGCTTAGGTCTCCCTAACACCGCTCTCACCGGTGTTTCCTGTTGGGGTGATGGGCTAACGAGAGGAGCCAGCTCCTCCCAACACCCATTACCCCGAACCGCCCTCCTCCTCCCCGGGAAGGGGAAGAGGAAAGTCACGTTGCTCTCAGAATTGCCTGCGACCCCGAGGAGAACGAGCGGAGAACGAGCGGCCCTCCACCCGCTCGCGCACGTTCTCGAAGTCTCCCCAGAGGGAAAGGCAACCTTTCCCTCTGCCGTTTGGCGGCCTCCTTCTGCCCCATTACAGTGCAGCAGAAGAAAACCACCGCCTCCCATTCTTCTGTCTCCCTGGAGGATAACGCTTTCATCAGGCCCTCCAGGGAGAGGTCTTCGCCTATTTCGGAGACCAGTTCTCTGCGTTCCTGAGCCCACCGTGGACACTCTTCCATAGTGTGCTCCACCGAGTTACTGGTTGCCTCGCACTCGTGACACTGCGTTGTCAACTCGCTCCCTATGCGACACAGGTACTCACCGAAGCAGCCATGCCCGGTAAGCACCTGCGTCACGCGGTAGGTGAGGCGTCCGACCCCACTGTCCAACCACACTTCCAAGTGGGGCCGAACAATCCGGACGACTTCCTGAGCGTTCACGTCTGGCTCGCTCAGGAGCTGTTCTCAGTCAAGGAGCAGTTGTCGCCGGGCTTGGTGCTCCGACTCGGCGAGGGCCTCCCGCAGAGCACCTTCTGCGAGACCCTCCTGTTCAAAGGGCGAGTCACAACCTAACCTAACCTAACCTAACCTTTTTTTACGCAGAGGAAATGCTATTACGCACACTGACCCAGACTACGAGTGTGAACCAAGGTGGGACTAGTGTGGGACTTGATCCCGCCGACAAAGAGCCGGAAGAAGAATACCCACTAAAACCTCTGGGGTCTCCACTTGCCGCTCTTATTAGGACTGTTCCGGTACTTTGTTAGAACAATCCTGGATAGTCCATAAGGCATGGGCTTGCGTTCCACTACGGAGAAGAAAGGGGTAGCACCTCCTTTTCCTTCCCTCTTTGCGACGGAGCGAGGGGACACACCTCAACTCCGTCGCCGCTACAGAACCGCGTGCAATGAGGGAAGACATTCCCCCCTGCGATTCCTGGGTCACACTACCCCTTCAATGGTGAACCCACTTTCCTCCAGCTGTGACTTCACTCACAAGAGGGAGTTCCGCTCTAGACCCACAAAGGCAACCGGTCTCAGTGTGCCCTTTGTTCTCGTGCCCCCATACAAAGGGAAGAGCAGGGAGTTGGACTTGACTGAGACCGGGCTCCCAGCACAAGATAAGACGGCCTGGACCGCAAAAAGGGGGAGAGGCATCAGATATACGGAGGGGCGGCTCTTCGGATTCTTGGGAAAAATCCCGCCGGAATCAAAGGGAGACGCGTCCTCCCTATTCTCATCACGGAGGATTGACCATGGGCATGGCAGCTCCCCGACCGACGGCCGGGCACCAGGCACCACCCATCCGGTGGAAGGACTCCCAGCCCTTCTCTTCGCAGAGGGAATAGCCCTTCTTTTCCTCGCTGCAACCAGCCGCCTTGTGCCCCGGCCGACCACAGCGATAACACAGATCGCTGCGGTCGACCAAGCTGGAGCACTGAGCCCTGCAGTGCCCAGGCTGGAAACACCTGTAGCACTGCAAGGGCGGGAACAAAATGCACGCACTCTCGCCATTACCCATCCCACCGGAAGCTTAGCCTTCTTGACTGCCTTGGCCGCTGCCTCAACCGAACAGCGAACCAAAGCGGTTCCACCCCTGGACGGGGAGTGACGCAGGGATACCACCCTAACGTCCTCCCCGCCCCAAACTCCCGCGCGAAACCTCATTTACTTCGTCCTTAATTGCTGTCAGCGACTGTACGCAGGGATTGCTCCTCGATATCCTCACCGACCTGAACAACCGCATCCAGAATCTTCTTCTCAGAAGCAGCTTGCCCCCGATCCAGTGAGGAAATTTTGCTCTCCAAAAGAGAATCTTGTTTCCTCACTTTCTGGATCTTGCTGATCGCATTGGCAACGTCCTTCTCGACGTCGTCAATAGACCGCTGAAGGCTAAATCTGCCTCTGACCTCTACCAGGGATGTAGGTAGCCTCGTTAGAAGCTCTTTCGGCCTATCTTCTTTTTCCTCTTTAGACATTCTAGAACGTCGGCAAAGCCGAGTCAAAGCTTGTCTAGCCAGGCCTCCATCTCCTGGACAAGGTCAGGGACGTCGAGTGATGCGATATAATCGAAGTCCCTTTCCCCAGAAATCTCCAAAAAAGCAGACTCCAGGCTCTTGTCGGCCATTCTCTTATCACTTTTAACGGCGGTAGCAGATTGTCCAGAGGGACCCGCCGTCGACCTCTCCTTCTGCCCTTCGTTAGATGACGACGCGGCGGAAGCAGGGACAGTACTCTTACCGTGTTGGCCCTCGAGTATTCGAACACTCTGGGACAGTAAGCTTCCCTTTGATAGCCAGCTTTTCATGATTTGCTACTTTAAATTGGTTTTACATCGATGTTATCCTTCACCTAGATCGGTTGGTAAACAAGACCTAACGAGCCCGATCTGCCCGAGAGGGTTTGAATGCTTTTAAGGCACTCACTTGCCTCTGACATGGATCATTTATCGGTTTTAATGGAGCATCTTATAGGCTAGTCCCTTCACAAAGGAGTAACCACCCCACCCTCAGCATCCACCGCTGTTTGTCCGCGGCTGCTTATTTCCACCGGAGGGGTTATTCGCAGCTAACCTTAATACTTGAGGCCGTTCCCCTATCCGCAACCCGGGGACGCGCTCGGTGGCAGTCAGCTCTGCCTTTGGAAGGCCGAGGCTGACTCCGAAATCGAGAACCTAACTTAACCTAACTTAATTTAACTCTTTATCACTAAAATATCATTAATGGCACAATACATAGTGCTTTATCTGTGTAACATTTGGATCGGAGCGATTCCAACTTTTGAATACACACTACTCACATTACAAACAAAAACCAAAATTTTTTAACATAAAAAACGAAACTTTTTTATGTTTGTGTTGTAAGTGTGTAGACAAAGAGGCTTTTTCTTTCCAGGGGCTTTGCCTCTCTTCCTTCATTTTTTTCTCGGATAATCGTAAAAAACGCTTTTTTTACATGTTTTTGCAAGATGGTGGATTGATTGTGTCCGACCGAAACAAAATTTTTTTACTTCTGTTTTTGGCAAATAAAATTATATAAAGATAGCAAGTTTTATAAAGATCGAAGAAGGAGTAGCTAATGTGCAACTTTACCGGAAAGTTTTTCTTATATTTATATTATCTCATTTTTTGAAAACTAGTGGTTTTATGCAAAAAATGCATACAACATAAATGATGTATTTTTTCAAGAGATAAAATGATGTGTATTTTTTCTACAACTTTTATTTGAAACATTTTTTTGTTATATGAATAGATAACAAAATAATGTTAAAAAATGTGATAATTTTTTAGTTTTTTTCAAGGTTGGGTAAGTTAAATTTTTTTTTTATTTAAGTTAAGTTACAGTTAAAGGTCTTAAAAATTTTATTTAGTTAAGATATAAGTTAATCCATAATGAAATTAATTGATTAAAAGTTAAGTTAATAAAAAAAA